CAAGTTTGTCGACAGCGATTCGTGCTCGATTCGAGCTCGATTTGTTTTTTGCACCTTTTTTCGATTTACGCCCAACGCCGTCGGCCTACCGTATTAAATTATTTCAACAAAAGTTTACGACTTTTTTTCTTATTTTCACAAAATGTTTTTTTGGTGAATCAGTTTTATCAACTTAAATCAACCCCTTCCAACGGTTACCGTATGAAAACAACCTACGGCTTGTTGTATCCAAGACCACTACCAAGGAATCTCCTGCCGACCCCTCATTTGGCTATTCAGAAAAGTTCCCCAGGAACGTTTTTCGCAGGTTATATCCGCTTTTTGGCATATTCAACTATCCTCTCAGACTTATCCGTGCAATTAATTGCCCATTCGTGCGCATTGGCTGTGTTTTCTGTCCTGAGGCAAAGTTTGCTGTGATCTGTTTTCAGGTGATCGGAATGCATTACTTTTCTCCCGTGGATAAAATGGAGCTCCTGGAGATCATCCTGACGGAGAAAACATCAAAGGACACTATGCGTAAGCCAGCACAGTTGTGTGTGGGTGGTCGGAATTGCCTTTGTTATCACTGTTTGTGTGTGTGTGTTCGACAATCGATTTCGATGAAGTCCACCAAGTGCACTACCAGGTCGGTACAGAAGGTGGCAATCTCAGGGGGTAGGTTATAGTGATAGCGGGCGTATTTGGCGCTAACTGCCCTCTCCACTTTTGCCCGGGGTCTCGAAGACCAATCGGGACCCGGCCTTGGCCGCTTTCTCCAATGCAAGCCAGAAACGCCGCCCAACGTAGTCTTAAGTGACAGTAGACTTTGCGCGGATACTACCGCACTATTTACCCTCAGTCACCTGCTTGTACTATGGCTCAGAAGCATCGCTCCTCCCCCCCCAGTCGGTGAGAATAATAACTCCATGTTCGGAGTGTTAGACTTCTTACCAATAGGTCGCATGTTCGAGCCTCATGGGTCTCACTCCTGGGGTTGTTAATGACTGGCTGATAACGGTTAATAAGCCCGAAATTATAGGCTCCGTTAACTTTGAAAAGAAATATGCTCGGAAAATCGAGTTGTACTCGTGAATTTTCGAGCAGGCAATACTTGCTCCTCGTCAGACTGAATGACAAGTGAAGGCTGGGATTGTCGCACTAGACGGTTTGGGGGCAGAGTCGACATCGAGCGGGGTGTGGTGGGGATTACGGTGACGCGAATCCTGCTGCGATAGGTGCTGCAAGTGAGAGAGGGCATGATCATTTAGAGTGTAGGCCACGTGTCTGGGGGATGCAGGATCAGTGAAGTTCTACTTGACCGAACACAGTTTGACAGTTGTTGTTTCACGCTGGGCGCATGCGCACAAACCGGCGTAATGTGAATCGAGATCCCTCACCTTTGTATGCCATGTTATTT